AGAAATATGCTTAATCGTCCTTCAGGAATAGTTGAATTTAGAGATATTTGTGGCATGCCTGCTGTGCCTGGCATAGTGCTGGAGCCTCAGAACACAAAAGCAAAGAAGTTCTCGGGCTGGTGAGGAACAGATGAAGAAGTCATATGCCAACTAACAGGGTGCCATGGGAATAGCAAGAGTGAGTGGCCGGACCATCGAGGAAGTCTTTACCACCCGGTGCCAAGGGCCAGAGGGGTGTTCTGGGCCAAGGGTGGCAGGAAATGTGTGGGGATGTTGATTTTTAAGGTCCAGAGTTGGGTGGGGAGTGCATGTGACAGGAGGTGTGTCTGGAAAAAGGGACCACCTTTCAAACCATTTATCAGAAGAGGAAACCATAGATGTGAATATTGTGCTGAATTGGATTTATATTCTGGACGTGTAGCTCACAAATAAATAGTACAGAGCTCTCACTGATTGAACGTTTGCTGGCACTGTTCTGAGGTCGTTTCTCATACTCCTCACAGCCTAGACTCTAGGCCCGAGAGAGATGCGCTGCTGTTCCCCATCCCTGGCAGACCAGGAGAGGGGCGCTGAGCGGGCCAGCGATTGCCCGCAGCCACACCATTTCACAGACCTTCCTGTTCCTGCCGTGGGCACGAGTCCGGAAACCACTGTTCACACTGAATTTCTTCCAGTCTTTTTAAAGATGCTATTGGCTCTTTGTTTAATACTAAATATATCTAAAATTAAATTGGTACTCATCTTATTTCTCTTATACAGTTGCATTTATTGCTGTTTCACTTAATAAATCACAGAATAAGAACAACTAAGTGCTAATAACCACTTACAGGGATTCACTACTTGAACTATTTGTATTTAGCATTCATTCGAATTACATTCTCTTCAAGTTGAGGAAAATATTTATGACTATTGAGGATACTAGTTGTTCACTGAGGTGGTTTCCCATATATTTCTATAAAATATAAATGATATTCATATTTATCAACACCATTTGAAGGGTTCTTGCTTGAAAAGATGACTATCCTTGAGTTGGGTTAACTGACAATTTTTTCTAAAAATAGTTCTAGGTGTCAGAAGTGAAGTGACTTATTTAGGGCATTGGATTACAGCCCAGATAGACTTTCAGCTGCCCTGCCCTATATTGTTAGTATAGGTTTCTCTACTTTTAATAGTCCTTGAAAAATATTTATTGGTAACAATACCTATAGCATGCTAGAACAGCTTGCACTAGAGAGGGTAACAGGCTGGCAGTTTCTGAATAATCAAAGCCCGAGGTCAAAGCTTAGCTTCTCATCTGCCTTTTTAGTGGAAGATCGCGCACTTCAGCGAACACCCTGCACACTGAGGGTCTTCTGTGCCCAGAGTCACGCTGAGCCCCGTTTTCCTTTAAAAGGGAAGGAAAGTTCTGCCTTAGAATGCCCGGGCACCCTGCATTCTGCCGCATAATTTGGGCGACTGAGAACCCAGCTGGCCTGCTGCTTGGTAATTCCTCAACACTCTGGTATGTCTTGATGTTGCCAAATAGACTGGAAGGATTCGGAGAACAGGAAATAAACTTCTGGGAGATAAGACGAACTGTAGACCAGACGAGAGAGGAAATGAGAATAGGAATCCAGGGAAACATTAGCAGTTTTACTTTATTTTTAAACCCAGAATTGTTGGAAAGATTTCTTTCCCTAATTTAGGGGAGCTATCCACTTACTCGGTTTTATTGGTTAGAACTCACAGCAAACAAGTATGTGTGGGGGGACTACGTTTCCATTTATAGCTGCATCTCAGCTGGTCAGGAATTGCAAAAGGGTGCGCGGGAGCCTGTGAACTTGCTGTTGATCTTACAGCTACCACTGTGTTCTCATCAGACCAAGGAATCTGTGAAGTTAGAAATGACTTTAAAACATATCTTACCTTTCCTCTTTAGTGTTTGTGTCATGCTGTGACCGTGCTGGCTGTTTTCATAAAGAAGAGTTTGATTACTGATGTGAACCAAATATGCAACCATACCTGGATGTTAAAGCAAAAAGGCAAAAGTACAGAGAATTGACTAGCCTTTATGCTCTCAAATATGACACCTTGTCATCAGATAGTATTTCATAAGGAAGGTCATAGTACATGAATAGCTTTCAGTAACCTTTTATAGTTCACATGTTAACTTACTCATGGTCAGCAATGAATATCATGTTATTGGTCATATTCTGTCCTGGGGCAGCCATTCTGGAGGCTGTCAGTGATTGTGGGCTTAAAGGCGAGCCTGTGGCTTTAGGAAACACTTAGTAGCAACATGCACTTTCGTGGATTGCAAGGCTCAGGCCAAAGCATCACTGGGCCTGAAAGAACTTTATAAAGTTGGCTTTTATGGACCATTTGGAAATTCTAAATTTTATGACACATTCAGTGCATTTAAAGACTTTTGTTGCTGTTTTGGTTTTACTGTTTTTAAAAAATTAGATCAGTACTTTAAATAGAGAATTTTAAAAACTAGAATTAAATAAATGAACCTGGATTTGTTGCCCCCCATCCACCTGTGTCGAGGGTCCTCCTGTGCATGTTCACAGCTCTCTAATTGCAGATAGAGCACTAGATTGTGTCCATTTACTGAACTGAACTCGACAAGGACAAAGATGGCTTAGCACCCAACAGTTTGTAATAGGCAGGCAGGCAGGCAGTGTTGGCTGTTGTTAAAATGCCTTTGGGAGTTGAAAATAACCTGCTAGAAATAGCTTTCAATAACCTTTTATAGTTCAAAGATATAACTGAATAAGGATCATAACTTCTAATTATGTATTACTCTTTGGCACAATATATTCAAAATTACTGTGTGTCAGTATTCCAAGATGATCAGGATTCTGTCCCTTTCTTCAGGCAGCACAGCTCAGTAGGGAGGGCATCTATGCAGTGAGAGTTACCACTCATAAAGCGGGTGGTGTGAGCGCTGCACATGCAGAGCTGGGACCAGAGTGTGGCAGGCGCTCAGCAGAGGGGTGGCTGAATGGGGCTGCTGGGAGCTGTCGGTGTCTGCATCCTTGGAAGTTGCCTTTGGCGTGGGAACCATCAGCTAAGTTAGATTTGACTAGTGATTGCCATGTCTGGAAATTGCAACCTCACAGCTCTCTTTGATTTTTGAATTTTTAAAAATATGTGTATTTTTATTGATTTCAGAGAGGAAGGGAGAGGGAAAGAGAGATCGAAATATCAATGATGAGAGAGAATCATTGATCGCCTGCCTCCTGAAAGTCTCACGCTGGGGATTGAGCCTGCAACCGGGCATGTGCCCTGACCGGGAATTGAACTGTGACCTCCTGGTTCATAGGTTGACAGTCAACCACTGAGCCACGTTGGCTGGGCCAGAATTTTTTTGTTTTGTTTTGTTTTGTTTTAAAAGCAACAGCATCCTTACATTTTGAGTGGGTAAGAATTTCCTCTTGGAAAATTTGAGGATTTTATTATGCATCTTTTTTAAATGAATTTTATAACTAATGCTAATGCCATTAGTTATGGGGGCCGCTTATAGCTCTCTGGTGCCTTGAAAACAAACTTAAGGACTAAAATCAGGTGTGCCCATGGTACAGCTTGGAGAAGTGACTGGGCTTCTGCATTGGTCAGTGTTTTGGACACAGATGGGCATGAGGAAGTCCTTGACAATCTGTCATTGTACAATTGACCCTCAAACACCATGGGTTTGAACTGCATGGTCCACTTATATGTGGCTGTTTTTCAATAAATATGTAGTCAGCCCTCTGTGTCCGCAGGTTTTGCATCCACCAACTGCAGGCGCAGATGGCCAGTTGCACACATTGATCTATGCCGTTTTATATGGCGGCCTTGAGCATTCTCAGATTTTGGTATTTATAGCAGTCCTGGAACCAGTCCCTCAGAGAAGCTGATGGGTAGCCTTAGTTAAGTTTTGGGGAAATTAAAAGCTGTAGGTGGATTTTTTTATGTGAGTGGGGTCAGTGCCCTTAGCAAGGGTCAACTGTACACATTAGAATTTGGAGACCATTTACACAGGGGCCACTTGTTCATGAGGGTGGTTCATTTATTAGGCACAAGGCCCTGGGAGGAGACGGGATCCAAAGCTTTCTTATGGACATCAGGCGTGCTCTTGCCAGTTAGTGATAGTCCTAGTTTGACAGACACACCTCAGTATATAGTCACATATTTGTGGATGTTCTGGCTCCCAGCTGGACTTTTCCCAAGAGCGGGGCCTGGTCTTCTCCAGCTTCGTATTGGTTACAGCGTCACACAGCAGGAACCTTAAGTATGAGCTGAATGTCTGACCGATTGACTTAATTCGGCATGATCACCAACATGGGCCAGTCAGGTGACACTCAGAGAACATCCACACAGTGAAAGTGGGGAGTCGTTTTGTGGCTCCTGGGCTCCTGGGCTCACTTCATAGCCCTGTGTCCTTAGAGGGTTCACTGGACTCTATGAGGGCTGCCCCCAAGCATTCACCTAGTTCCACAGACCACCTCCCAGAGGGCCTGCCTTTTAGATGGAGTGAAAGTTGAGAAAGATGAAAGCAAAATCTAGAAAATATATGGAGGATTTCACATTGGGAGGAAAATGAAATTAAATAGGTCTCATCCATGCCTCTTACTGCACTAAAAAATAATACTCTGATTCACATACACAATATATTCTGTGAAAATTGTTTTCCCATCATACAGTACTGTCAGGTGAAAGATCCTTGCACCTGTGAAAGGCAAGACAGAGTACAGATGGCCTCTGGTCCTCTGTTTTTACACCAGTGGGTATTCCCATGCTGCACTTTATCATTTGCTCAGGTGCCTGCTGTTTCTCAGGAAGCCCTTATGTGGGTCTGGTTCCCTATGAGCCGTGTGTGGACTGTGGCCTATCCCCTCCACTGATCCCCACATCCTCCCCAGGCTTTTCCTTGGACCATGCCTTCTGCTTAGTTTTGAAGTTTGATCTCTTTGTAGGCGTAATCCTGGCCCACTGGTTCATTCCTTGTGGTAAATGTCATCTTGGTTGTTTTCTAGGTTGTGCTGGTAAGGTGGAATGAGCCATACCAGAAGCTGGCCACGTGTGACGCAGATGGAGGGATATTTGTGTGGATTCAGTATGAAGGGAGATGGTCTGTGGAACTGGTCAACGACCGAGGGGCTCAGGTGAGTGGGCTGGACCCTCTTCCAGTGGAAGACTGCTGGAGAGACAACACAAGTCATGTGTTCCAGGGCAAATGGGAACTCTTTCCAGAAATGGGTGGAGTAGAAATAAATAAAACTAGAACCCTGCTTTTCATGCTTCGTGCATATATCACTTCAGCTGTGCTGCTCTTGTGAGAACGCTCTGAGTTTTCAAGCTTGAATTAAATCTGTGAAATCACTTTTCACATTCAGCGTTGTGATTGCTTGCTGAATCTGGGTCCTGAAGCACTCTGGCATATCACTCTTTTGCTCCCTTTCACACGGTGTTTTCCTGTGCTGTCACCTCCTGGCTGTCTCACAGGGAGCTCCACATGGCTGTTTCTCACAACCCACTCACCAAACTGAGTTGTCAACACTTTCTTCTCTCAGGTTGCAATGAGCGTGGCCACCTGTTGTCCTCCCTCAGCTCTTCCTTTCTGATATAAATTTGTCTCCCCCAGAGGAAAACAACTGCTCCAGGGATGCCCTGCTGAGCTGTGCTATTTTTGAACCGCTCCATAGATTCCTCTGGCTTGTGGGACAGCTCTGCCCCTCCTCCCACAGGAGGATGGGCAGCACAGCACACATGTGCCATCCCAGGGATTTAACAGAACTAGGGCTTCAGAACCGAATCCTCAGGGGACCTTTGTTGATGGGGGGTTTCTTAGTCTATTCTCCTCTCCTAGGGTGGGTTTCCCTGTGAGCTCCCCAAGTTTGAAAGATAAAGAGATCAGTGACGTGGCATAAAATTGCAAGGAGTGAAGATATTTTCGCAGTTATTATTAGCAGATCCTTATTAGAGGATCTTTATAAGATGTCATCACAGACTAATCTACTTCTGGGTAAAAATCAAATTTTCTTTCTTTGTGACTTTATTTATTTGTTAGGGTAAATGTAATAGTTTTGACTAACTCTGAAAAGGCCATCCTATATAATAAGAGAGGAATATGCTAATTAGCCATTACGCCCTGAGGCGTAATGACCAAGCACATCACAGACCAGATAGATCACTGATCAGCAGGAGGGTGGGCCAGCGAGGTACAAGTGGTACAGGCGGGCAGCGGAGAGCTACAGGAGGGGGCAGGGCAGCAAGCTGTGGGTGTGGGGGGGGGGAGCTACAGGAGGGGGCAGGGCAGCAAGCTGTGGGTGTGGGGGGAGCTACAGGAGGGTAGGGCAGCAGGCGGAGAGCTACAGGGCCGCAGCGACCTACTGGCGCACAGATTTGTGTGCAGGGCTACTAGTATTATAATAGGCAGTTAGACAGACATGAGCAGAGCAAGGATTTGGGCCAGGTACAGAAGGTCACCAGGGCGAAAAGCCCCGGGCGCCTAGCAAGGAGCAAAACTGTGAAAACAAGGACCTTGCCCCCAGGGTAACCTTTCCTCCCCTCACATGTCACTAGTCATGTAGGTTAGACCCCTGGCCTTTCCTCCCTAAGGAAACACCCAGGCCTCAGCTGTATTTCAGCTCCAGGCCCAGTAAAGCAGCAAAACCACACAAGTGAGGCCACGGCGGCCTCAGGACCGGCTGCACTGACTGCTGGCACCACCCAATCAGTGGAGACCATGACCCTGAAAGAGCACACTTGGAAAGCTAATGAACATTCTATTAAGACCTCCCCTAAGATTCCAGCCTGCAAGGGAGAGAAATACCACACCCACATCTTTACCTTCCCCCACAGGTGTGAGAGGACCTGTAAGACTTAAGCCAGGGGAGCAGTGGGCAGCGGCAGCTCGTCCCAGACTAAGCCCCGACCCTGTCTCCAAGGCCCCCCTTTCTCTGACTTCCCAGGAGCAGAGCAGCCCAGCAGAGGCTCCTCTGGTGCTGCTTCTTGCCCTTCCTTGTCCTGAATGTGTTTTTGCTACAGACAATAAATTCTTGCTTGCTTTGCTACACTTTCTCTCTTGACTGAAATCTTTCCTTCAAGAAGACAAGAACCAAGGTCTCTAGACTCAGTAACAATATCAGTTTCCTGCATACCTCCAAAGAGTGAAAAAGGAAGGGTGACTACTAATTTGCCTTCTGAATAGAGCTGCAGATGTAGAAATCTCAGGATTATGAGAAATTCATGTCACCTGCAGGGGATGTTGTCAAGAGCATGATCTCTAGAGTCAGACCACATGAGCCAACAATCTCACTCAGTGACTTCTTAGTGGGAAATATTTATCTGGACCTCAGTTTCCTCATCTGTAACATAGGGACTGTAATGGTACCTGCCTCCGAGAAGCACTAGAACTTAAAAAAACTATGGAAAGTGCTTATAGCATTGTCTGCATATGAGAGTCTCCACAGCTGTTAAAGTGTCTACAGACGTGTGAGGCACTGTTGCCACTTAGCGCCTGAACTCAGAGCCCAGCTGCCCTAAAATAGTAGCCAAAACGTCATCACCAAAGAGCGGCCTCAGGTCTTGAGGCTGCAGCTCTCCCAGGCTTCCTGTAAAGACTTGTGAATTGGTCCGTAAGGGTCTCTAAAGTGCTGAAAGGATAGCCCTTTCAGAAGATGCTATTATTCTCAGTTAATGGGAGGAAAAAGGTCAGGAGGTTCAGTAACTTGCTCAAGAAAGTTCCTGGATGCTAAAGCCAGAATTGAGCCCAAGATTGAGTCCCAAACGCTGTATCACTGCCTTGTTCCCCAGCAAGAAACTCTCTTCTCTTTTAGCAGAAATGCATGTATTGTTCATGGTATACTGGTAAGATAGATTGTTCCAAGCATTTTTTGAGATAACAATACTGTTTAATTGCTTTATGTTTTTAATCCTGCATTGTGGTTTCCCAAAGTGCTTATTTAGTTCTTTCAGTTCTGAATGTACCTTTGCCGTGTTCCCTACCCTAAGAAATACTAGTATAGACTTCAGATGGGAGATGGTGTGAGAGGTCCTCCCCAGGCCCACCCCTCCTTGTCACTCAGATGTGACCAGGTAGCTGCCAGGCACTTCCCCTCTGACATGGCACAGAACACCCAGGAAAGGTGCTTCCTGCCATCAAGAGGCAAAAGGGCCTGGAAAAAGCTGACTCTTGGTCAACAGTGCTTTCGGAGAAAGATCTTGATCAGAAGAGGGAAATGTGAAAAGTAATAAACATCAAGAGGCAAAAGGGCCACTGAGTCTGGGAAAAGCTGACTCTTGGTCAGCAGTGCTTTCGGAGAGAGATCTTGATCAGAAGAGGGAAATGTGAAAAGTAATAAACAGAAACCTCATTGAAAATGGAGTCAGGAGGCTGGATGAGAGAACTTTCATGCACATTTCACTCAACACACAGGACTGACCCCACAGGAAGAGAGGCACCTGCATCTCTGATAGGAAGTGATACTAGACTCAGCAGGAGGGAGGGAAGATTCCTCCTCCCAAGTCCATAAAAGAGTGTGCCTCTCCTTTGTTTCTCTGTCCATGCCTGTGGTTCACCATTACAGCTTACATCCCTAACATTATACAAAAGAGCTCCAGCCTCAGCAGCCAAGTAGAGCTGTTACCACATCATTTTCTCCTGACGGGCAGCCTGTCTGAGGAGGGAACCTTCTGTCATGTCCATACAGCAGCTGTGTGGTCTCTATCACCACTGTATTCCTCAGCTTTTCTTGTCATTTAGAGTTTGGTGCAAATGGCATGTTAGAAAGAAAAAAAGTAAGTTAGGATGACCTGGGGTTGAGTGAGCTTACATGCACCATAGAACATCTGGAGCACCTAGAATCTCACAAAAGCCTGTGCCAGCTAGGTTCTACCAAAGTAATCATTATATCTTGTGATCTGATTTACATTTTTATATAATTTTACTTTGTAGAGCTCTGATCCTACACATCTCAGAACCCATTGAGCAGTTGTCATCATTAAATGCCTACATTTTGGGGAGGGTTGGTTGCTTTTAATTGTGTTGAAGTCAAATCTTATGTAAGTAAAGAACATAGCACTCTGGTGATGATGAATCACTGGTCGAAGGAACAGTGGCTCTCTACACCTGAAACAGTGTCTGGTAGGAGGAGGGACAATTCTGTGACTTGGAAGAGGAATATCCTTGAAATCTGCTCATAGAAAAATAATACTTTTTAGAAGTGACAGGTGATCCTTGTTACATAGCATGCCTTTCATTGAGACAAAGCAATCAAACATCTGGCAAAAGCTGATTGATGCTTTAATAATTTCTTTTTTAGGAAATGATTGAGTCCTTTGTTTCAAAGTTGAGTCTGGAACAGTGTATGCATAGTTTCACAGTATTAGGCACCAAGGATGGTCTGATAAAAGCTGCCTCAGGCGTGGGCCATTCGGGCTGCAGCTCAGCTTCAGTTAATCCATGTCTGAGAACACTCGTTAGTGAAGCAAGAGCACTGTAACCCCCTGCAACTGAAAGACAACCAGTAGAAGAGCCTTTCTACTTATTTTCTTTAAAGCATTTGGTTCTGAGTTCCCCTGTTTTTGTTTTTCCAGTTGTGACATGTTCTTATCACTCTGTGCTCACCAAATTTAATAAAACCAATTAATTCATGTAAATATCCTATGCGATCATTTTTGTGATTATAAGGTTGGTGGGGTGGTGTCTTGGACAAGATTCTTTTCACTGACTAGATCAGTGATGGCGAACCTATGACATGCGTGTCAGTGGTGACACGCGAACTCATTTTTTTGGTTGATTTTTCTTTGTTAAATGGCATTTAAATATATAAAATAAATATCAAAAATATAAATCTTTGTTTTACTATGGTTGCAAATATCAAAAAATTTCTATATGTGACATGGCACCAGAGTTAAGTTAGGGTTTTTCAAAATGCTGACACGCCGAGCTCAAAAGGTTCGCCATCACTGGACTATATCAAGCATGTCAAACTCAAAGGCTAACACAAGCCAAATTAACAAGGTTTGCTAGTAAGTTTATGTGGGCTGCAAAAAAACAAAAGCTTCAATTTTCATAGAAACGTAGGATTATTTCGATAGAGACATGCTGAATACAAAGGGCTGAAATAAATGAGTAATCGTTAACATAAAATAATAGAACATTTTAATAAAAATTAATATTTTTTCTTGAACATTAACTTACCAGACACTGAATAACTGCACAAATTAATAAGCGTAACCAGTCCAAGACTAATGATGTGACAATTGGCTGCTAGGATATTCGCTGCTGGTATTAGTGGAGAGAAATGGTGCGCCTGCGCGTAAGGGAAATGAATGCAACATGATTATAGTAATCAGTCATTAGCGAACGTTGTAGTTCGTTATTAATAATTAGAGGCCAGGTGCACAAATTCATGCACGGGTGGGGTCCAGCCAGCCCGCCCCCTGGTCGAGCTCCTGGTCAAGGGGACAATTTGCATATTAGCCTTTTATTATATAGGATATTTATATTGTTCTCTTTAAAGCCGCCTTGACCTTAGCCAAAGGCTAAGTTAAGGACTGCATCTAGGTCTTTGATGAAAGTGCTTTCCATTTAAGATTACAAATTGACCACTTTTATCTGTGTGTGTCTCAAAGGTGAGTGATTTCACGTGGAGCCACGATGGGACTCAAGCGCTTATTTCATATCGAGATGGGTTTGTCCTGGTCGGTTCTGTCAGTGGACAAAGACACTGGTCATCTGAGATCAACCTGGAAAGTCAGATCACATGTGGCATATGGACTCCTGATGACCAACAGGTAATGCATCTTGAATATAGGTGTGTAATGTTAAAGCCATGAGAGATGAGGAGGAAATGAGTAAAAAATTATCACACAAGGAAAAACGGCTGGGCTAGGGGAGTTTGCTCCAAAGCTTCTTAAAGAATCACAAAGGAAAAGAACAATGACAGTGTCCAGGTAAATATTAAAACAAAAATTTGAAATGAACCATAGATTGGAAAAATAATATTTCCCACCAGTATGGTAAATATTGGGTAAATATTTTAATTACAGAAAATGTTGACCCAAATTTAGTTTTGAATCTACATAAGTAGTCAATTAATAAATGGATAATGGACATAAACAGTAATTTACAAAAGAAGTTCAACTAGTCAGTAATCATGTGGTGGAAAATTATTCTCAGGGAAAAAATGCAAAATAGCATAATGAGGACATATTTTCACTTTTAGCAAAAGTAGTAATAAACTGATACAGATGATTTTACTGATTATTGATGAGTACAATCAAGTATTCTCATTCATTGCTAGTAATAATGTGTATTAGACATTTGAAGAAGCATTTTGGTGTACAGTATGTAAAAAATATTAAAAATTATCAACCACTTTGACCTGGTAATATACTTTAGGAATTTATCTAAAAGAAACAAAGAGAAGCCCTGGTCGGTATTGCTTGGTGAATAGAGTTTTAGCCTGCACACCAAAAGGTCTTGGGTTTGATTCCTGCTCAAGGGCGTGTACCTAGGTTGCAGGTTCGATTCCCTGGCCCTGGTTCGATGTGTCTCTCTCATGGATGTTTCTCTCTCTCTCTCTCTCTCTCTCTCTCTCTCTCTCTCTCTCCCCCCCCCCCCTCCCCCCTGAAAAAAAATAAAAAAAAAAAAAAAGGTAAGAGCAGCCCAGCTCTCAGGAGCAGAGATCCCCTCGGGCCCCTGCCCCGACTCGAAAAAGAAACAAACAAAGGGAAGAAAATAACAGTTCTTTATTGAAGTATTATTTATTATCAACTTTCCAGGTTGATCTCAGATGACCAGTGTCTTTGTCCATTGGAGATAGCACATCAGCCTACTAATCTCAAAATAAAATGGTTAAGTAAACTGTGGTGTAACCACTTAAGGTATTACATAGTAGTGCTGTAAATTGTAGATTGTGGTATAAAGATGGTGTAATAATTTGGAAGAGCTCTTATGGTCTAATGTAAAGAGGAAAGGCCGGATTTGAACGGTATATGTGGTATGATTACCACATCATAAACACCCAAGAGAAACCCGCTGTGTAGTAGGAAGAACTGGAACGAAGTGAATCCAAATGCCACGGACAGGTTGTGATTTTATGGTGAGGAGCCTTCTGGTCATTTTTTTTAAACCTAATTTCAAAATAATTTTTGGTGTTCTAATTTCACGATAAAACAATATATAATAGCCTAATAAGATCAGATGTTGATAATTGATTTTTAAATATAATGTTTATGAGGTAAAACCTTTATAAATATAAAACTTGTCCAAGTACAGCAGAATCCATACAATGCTGAAACATTTTAAGCAGTATAATATGGAACCATACTTTTATTTTGAGACACTGTTTTGTTTTTACTAAATTGCTTTCCTCTAGTCATATGTTTCATGTTTCCTTTTTTTAAAAAATAAAAATGGCCAATTTGTTTTCTTCTCAAACTTAGTGTTGTGAGAAAGGAATACATTGAAATTGAGAATTTATATGGGTACTATAATTACTTTAAAATTTCATTGATTTTAAAAACTGCCCTGCAATGAGAGAGAGCTGTTGACCTGATGTGGCCTGAGGACCCTCAGGTTTCCACCAGCCTGTTAGCTCTTGGTGTCCACATTACAGAGGGCTTGTCCCTCACCCAGGCATGAACCCTGCAGTCCGGCAGGGAAAATATGAGACAAATTTACATAATTTTGTCATCAGTTCGTAATTAAAAGCGTTTTTGGAAGATTTGAACAGAGCATTGATTTATAGCCTAAAGAATCAATTAAAGAAGTTCTTCCTTCACTTGGCAAAGACCAAACTTTGGGCAGAAACTCATTTACTAAGAGTCACTGAGCATCCACTCGTGACAGGAAACATGAGAAATTTGGCTGCAGACTTGCTCTCGAGAAGCTCATGGTGTAATGGGCAAGACAGACTTGCAAAACAGAGCCAAGCTCACAGTGCCGTGGAGGCCATGGTTAGAGTGAGGTTAATTCTGTGATGCGTCCGAAAGCTTTCAGACATGGTGTCTGAGCACTTGTGATGTGACAGACACCATACTGGACATTGGAGATAGCACATCAGCCACAGTCTTTTCTGGGAGAGGACCTGGCTGTGTGTGTGTTGGTTGTTTGGGAAAGGACAAGATCACACATTTCATCTGGGACTTGTTGACTCTGAAGGCCCTTTGGCTCATTCAAGTAGCAGGTCGGCAAGGGCATGTGTGAGCCTGAGCTTAGGGAGAGGCCTGGACAGGGAGCTAGTGTGGGTGGGGCCCTCGAAGCCGTGGACATGACTGATCTAGAGAGAGAAGAGGGCCTCGGGCCAAGCCTGGAAGAGGAGCCAGCCCGGCTCCCTGGAGAGAGCACCCGAATGCGGGAGGAGAAGCACGGAGACTGGTGTCCTTGCCATGGGTGTGCTATTATTAGACTTTCCGTCTTGTTCTCTTCAAGTCCAGGCCTCACATAGCCTGTCTCATGGGAAGTGATTAGGCATGAAAAGTACGTGTAATAGGCGAGATTTTTAAAAATCTGATTTCATGTTGTATCTGTGACATACTTGTTCCAAAACAGAGTAACTCCCTGCATCATTGCTTGACAACTAGACAATTCGTGCTGGTTTTTCCTTCTCTCAGATTTTATAGGGTCTGATCTTCCCAAGAGGGCTGTGTTTGGAACTGGCTGATGGTGGAGCTTTGGGGGAGGGGGGCTTTTTGTTCCATGTTGCCTTACTGTAATGTTGAGCAGTGGCCACCAGTCCTTTCATTCAGGAATTAGGTGTCTGTTCTATTGTTTGGCATCAGTTTCTCTAAAATGGAAAGATGTGTGTTACTTGAAAACGCTTCAGTGCAGAGGCCTTTCTTCCTCCCTCCACAAATACTGCCACGGTCACCTGCTATGACAGGCCCCGGGGAGATGGCGGTGAGCAGAGCGGGCCGGTCCAGTCCTCAGAAGCTTGCGGTCTGTGTGGGAGTCAGGTATGAAAAATCATACAGGAAAGATTGAGAATAGTGATGATTGCACCAGTGGAACATGGTGGGTACGGCAGAGTCCACCACAGACAGGGCGGGGATCTCCTTTCCTGCGTCCTTGTGAAGAGTAATTCATTGTTGGCTAATGAGCTATCGTTATTAAAAACAAAAGTCATAAATGATCAATGACCCCTTCAGCCAGCACCAAGGTACAGAGATGCTCTTCAGAACAGACTTGAAAAATGAGTGAGGCTGTGCAAAGCAGGGGAAGAAAAGCCTTTGTCACCCGTGACATTTGCCTTCTAGTGGGGTCCCCACATATCTTTTTCACTTGAAACATGTAAATTGTACATTTTAGTTAAAGTTATAGGAAGTCATGTTCTGTATGTATCATCATTTAAAACTGCTTACCAACATGTTCAATGTCTGCCATTCTAGAGTTCGGCAGTGTTCCTGTTGGTTTTGTCTGGTTTTCTTTAAGTAGCGTGGACTAATAAATTGATCCACTTCTGAGGGAAAACAGTTTTAGCCTTTTTTTTTTTTTAGCTTTCAGTCATTAAAATGTAGATCATGTTTAAAGAAATATTTAGTAGAAATTGATTTATCCTAACAGTCCTATGAAATCTGTGAGCTTATTACTACTTAAATGAATTATATCATCCCATGCAATTCATCTCAATCATCAGCATTGATGTCCTAAAATTACCTTTTTAAAAAAATATGTTTTTATTGATTTCAGAGATTAAGGGAGAGGGAGAGAGTCAGAAACATCAATAATGAGAGAGAATCATTGATCGGCTGTCTCCTACATGCCCCCCTACTGGGAATCGAGCCCACAACCTGGGCATGTGCCTTTGACTGGAATCGAACCCAGGACCCTTCAGTCCGTAGGCCTATGCTCTACCCACTGAGCCAAACCAGCTGGGGCTAAAATTACCTTTTGATTGTCATTTACTTTAGTTTATTCATTTAACAAAAAATACTTGTTGGTTGTCCACTGTGTACCCAAAGCTCTTTTAGGTACAATGGGGTACCTCTGTGAATAGTCTTTGCCCCCAAGCTTAGTGTCATAACCTTAAAAGCAAAAAGAGGCAGGAGTTTAAAAAGCCTTATTAAATCCTGGTCTTTCTAGTCAGATAGCCCTGGCTTGACCACTTAACAGCTTTGTCAACTTGACCCCTTCCAATTGTTTCTGCACCTGTAAAATGGAAATAGTTTGCTTGGTTGTCACAATGAGTTGCTCTGGGGTAGACAAATCTCATTAGACACAAAAGACAGAAAGTTTTCATGGCAAGAGATGCAGAGCCCGCCCGTGCCCACCACACAGACCAGAAGATATCAGCATGCTTCCCAGGCCCAGGTTCCCCTCGTGACGTCCGGCTGGATGGCACCACTGTCAGGGGGCTGCCAGCCTCTGTGAGATACTCTAGCGCTGCTCTGATGGGGGACGGGGGGTCACTCCCACCCCCCGTCCTCTGCCTGCCTGTGCTCTAGCTCTGCCATGTGCCTGTCCCATCTCCCAGCAGGGCCCTGAGTGTGTGCTCCCAGACCTGGGGACCTGAGGGAATTCCCTAGGTCCATCCAGCTTCATTCCAGCATTGCTGGGACTTCACTCACAGGAGTGTTCTGACAGTTATGAGGCGCAGCTTTTAGTATAGCGCTTATCACAAAGTCAGCACTTAGTGAAGGTATTATTACCGTTAATGCTTTATAACATTAATTATCAACTAATACCATTCTTATTCACAGTGAAATAAAACAAACTATTTCAGGAACATCTTTTCCAAATATGATTAGATAACATGCTTACATAACCAGATGTATTTTCTCTAGGTCAGACATACACCTAAGCTTGTCTTCTAAATCTAATAATGAACCTCTGCTACTTCTTTATTTTCCAGAAAAATAAGTGAATAACCCTCTTCCTTCAACCCAATAAAACAAAACAAGCCACAAAAAGTGAAACCAGGATTTGCTCATATTATTTGATAATGTCCATACAACATAATGAATATGTTTATTGTGCTGCTGGTCATATTTCAGTATTAGAGGACTCGAGTTTTTACAATAACAGTCAGCTAAATTTTCACTGCTTAATGCTTTGTGTATCCCCTCAGTTACTTAACTGGTCTGTGTTTTTATTCCAAATATACTTTGTCCTTCTAAACAAGTTGAGGTGATGAGGTGTGTGGGAAACGGAGGCCTTCCCTCCCGTCCATCAGCAGTCCTGGTGCTCACTTGCAGGTGCTGTTCGGCACGGCCGACGGGCAGGTGATCGTCATGGACTGCCACGGCAGGATGCTGGCGCACGTCCTCCTGCACGAGTCGGACGGCATCCTCAGCATGTCCTGGAACTACCCTGCCTTCCTGGTGGAGGACAGCAGCGAGAGCGACACGGACTCAGACGACTACTCCCCGCCCCAAGGTAGCTCGCTGCTCCACAGGGACAGCGTATGGAGGGAATGAACCGCGTTAGAGGCAGAAGGGGAAAGGTCTGCCACAGGCACAGCACCCTCACTTGTTGGGAAGAGTTCGCGAACCGAATTGCAAGGCCCCTCGGACCAATCTGTGTTCTCTATTTGACTGTCTTCTCTCTGCCACCCCCTGTCTCACTGTCGCTGGTCAAGTTGATTGGCATAGGTTTCCTACACATAAAATGCTCTCGCTTTGTCTTCTTCCTTTCCCAGATGTGTGTGTAATGCTTCCCAGAGAATATGCATACACATTTCTGTGCATGTGTGTTTATTTATTTTAGGAGAAGACAATGTTTACACATAAAAAAAATTAAGATCAGTGCTAGTGTTTCAGGGTAGGTAGGTCTTGAGGGAGAGTGTTCTTAGCACCGACAGATGCACTTGGGAAGTAACTGCCCAGGCTCTCTGCTGAGCACCCTCTGCGGCCGCGTCGTTTGGAGGGTGGAGAAGGCTGCTTGCTTAGCAGCATCCCAGTGCAGAGTCCCATCTGCATGGCCAGGTCGTTTTCAAGACCCTCCACAAGATAGTAACATTGTGGCCCTGGATTTGGGTCAGGTGCTCATTGTCTCTTTTTCACTCAGCACTTTTGTCCCCACAGATGGTCCAGCAGCATATCCCATCCCGGTGCAGAATATCAAGCCACTGCTCACCGTCAGCTTCACCTCGGGGGACATCAGTTTAATGAACAACTACGATGACTTGTCTCCTACTATCATCCGCTCAGGCCTGAAAGGTACTGCATATGACCCTCGGCCCAGGGATTTGTTTTCCAGGCTGGGTGTCGTACACCCAGCACTTGTTGATCCTTGTCCCCTGTAGTGACCTCTTTCTGACTTAAGGGAGTCTGTGAGAAAGGCTACTTCCTTTCTCTTTTCCACTTATCTGACAAGTCGCTGCCTGGTCTTGCCTAGAGGAGGGATTCCTGACCGGCAGGCTTCATCTTCACCTGCTCTTCTCCCACTCCGACAAGAGTGGTCCTCTCTCTGGTGCGCTGTGTTTGTCTCTGGCTGACACTGTGTCTGCAGAGTAATGGATGGCAGCCCCTGCTGTTCTCGAGGCAGCAGATGGTGCACGAGACACATTTACACAGAAGCCCCTGCAGTTTTAAGGCTTACTAAAGCCTTAATGGTTGTGCAGTGAAGTTACCTTGGATACATTATGTTGTTCTCTGTTTATCAGACGAGATTGTGTTGGAGCAGCATTCCCAGCACATTCCCACCAAATTTGCAGCTTAGAAACACATGTGACTTGGGGAGGTGACCCATAGAAGCCCTCCCAGATGAGAAATTTTTTTGACTAGAGTTTTATTCTAACTCCCATCTTAGATCCACATGGTCTTTTTCTGTTACTGTCTCAAATAAATATAATCAGAGAACTTCCAGTGAAGAAAGGTGACTTATGATATTCTTTTTTTTAATATTTTATTGATTTTTTTACAGAGAGGAAGGGAGAGGAATAGAGAGTTAGAAACATCGATGTGAGAGAAACATCGACAGGCTGCCTCCTGCACACCTCCCACTGGGGATGTGCCCGCAACCAAGGTATATGCCCCCAACCGGAATCGAACCTGGGACCCTTCAGTCCACAGGCCGACGCTCTATCCACTGAGCCAAACCGGTTAGGGCTATTCTTTAGTTTGTCACCAGCACAGTGTCACATGGAAAAGAACATAGAGTGCCCAATAGACCATGGTGCCTGCAGCCAGCCCTCTTCCTCATCACCTACTACACATTCCTTTATTGCAGATTCATTTGTGTGTGTATAGGGGTGGGAAGTGATTTTGCTTTGCAAATGTTCCCCCCCCTCCTGCCCCCCCCCCCAGCAAGTTGTGCCTTGAAGAAAAATTTCCTGAGAATCCCAAATTGTTTATCATACAATGAACCATAAATTGGTTCACCTTATTTGGAGTTTTTACCCTTTGTTGTGACTTTTGCTCTTTCTTGAGGATGTAGGGGAGGAAAAACATTTCCCCCAGCTGAGATTCTGCAACTGCCCATCTGAGGTTTCAAAACTGGGGCCCTGTAAAGTCGACTGACAAAGACAGATTGACAAGAGAAAAGCAAACAGATGCGTTAACTCAGGCATTGAACTTACCCATGAAAGCACTTGTAGATGAGTAACTCGGAGCAACTCGGAGCGGTGGTTAGAATGTGGGTTATACAGCATGTTAACAAAAGAACAATACATTTTAGAGAAATGACAAAGCTAAAGGACTAAGTTTCTAGGGCAGCAAATCGTGGGAACTAATTGACGATAAGGGCTAGTTCATAAATTTGTTTTATAGATTCGTCTAGTATCTTTTCTGGGTTGATAAGGGTCTAAAGTTGTCTCCAGTGATTAACTTATGTCCTTCCTGGTGGGAGGTCATAATCGTTTATAAATTTGTCTTGCTTTTAGACAATCTTGGAGAGCAGAGAGCTTGTCTTGTATCTTATTTCTTCTCAAAATAATCCTTATGCCAATAAGGCATATTTTGGATGGCACATTCTGCTACCCATCAAAAACAAAAAACTTAGGAATTCAGAAATTCAAGAGCATGTCTCACTTTACCCCACATTGCCTTAAAATAAAGGAATTCGAATTCAAAATAAAGGAATCCAAATTCATACTGCTCTGTTTTGTTTCTCTATTTTGCAGAATTTTCTCTTTCTAGCATTTCTTTGAGCACACAATGGCCCTGTAATTGTGAAACATACTCCTTTTAAAAGATTGACTTGCCATTATAGACTATAACTGTCTCAGGATAACTTTATAACTGTGTCTAATGCACTCAGAATTAAGATTCAGGAGGCTTTGTCTAGAAGTAAATGATAAAGACTTATTCAAGTGTCTCTGAGTTTGCAGACAGAAAACACAGCTAGGCAATACCAGACCATTCCAATGGAGAAAGAAAAGCTGAGGGGTCTTTAGTACAAAGTCCATTCTTGAGAAGAATCAGTCCTGCATTCTGAGCCCTGCATTGGTCCAGGATGGTATCTTCAGATGTCCAGCGATCTGGACAGTGGGTCAGTTTCTTCTTGAGGTCACTCGGATGGTCATCTGAGGGTTTGATATATGTTCAGGCCATTGACACACAGTGACCCAGGTGCATCCAGCATTGACGCAGGACTGAAAGCCCAGAAGGTTAAGTTCCCAGGCTAGTCAAAGCAAGAATGGCATCATTTCCTATTGCCTCAGCATACGTTATTGAATAATTCAGAAGCTTGACCATAGTGACTCCATTTTTTTATTCACCTGTTCCTCAACTGCACTGAAGAAATCCCTGAGCATTTGCTTGTAAATATTTGGGCTCATTCTTAACTCGGACAGACAGTTCCCACCTAGTAAACAAAATGTTTAAGACTCCAAAAGTGTCTTAAGAGCCTTGAGTGCTCAGGGCCCGTCTTTAAGCAACCTCTGAATGTGACTGTGTGTCTAGGTCAGCCCTGCAGGAGCAACAACCTACTTTTCTCTTGGTAAAAGACAAAATGCAAAGAATGTTATTAAAATGAATAAATAGTAAAAAGAATGGTGCCAGTATCCACTCACCCATTGACCAAAGCGGGTTGGCTGAGGAGCCTTGGGAGTGAAGTGCTGTGTCTTTATTTCTGCGGTATTGCAATGCTGCTTCTGCCCTAGACAAGGGTAGACCTATCTTTTTCTTGTTTTTACCTGTTAGTGTTAGTGCTCCTCCTTTTGACCTCTTTGTGCTTACAAAGGAACCATCCAGAAAAGGTCATCTCAGTTTCATTACCACAAGGCTCTTCACTAGAGTGATTGAGGCATTTGGGTCCAGAGCACACTGTGGTGTGCACAAGCCCTCTCGCTTCCCCTATCATCTTTTTAAAAGTCTATTCACCAGGATATGTATTTGATTCTTTTAAGTTATTTTTCATTTGCTCCACCTTATTCATATCCTCTTAAATGAAAAAGGGGGGTGGGGGACTCCTTTTATTGATGTGTTCTCTCTCTCAGGGTGTATTATTTCACTTGGTGCTTGTCTATAACTCCTTCCTCTCAGCTCTCTGCTACCTCTGTCTCTGGTTTCTGTCTGTGGCTGACTTGCTGAACGAGCTCTGGCTTCCCTGGGTCTGGAGAGTCGTCTTGCCCCAGAGGCCACTGTCTAGTCTTCAAAGGAAGTTAATTTCTGCGGTGACCTCGGAGTGGCTGGTGTTAATGTCAGCACCAGTACCGCACATGAATAAGAGAGAGGCCGTGATCACGTGTGACCTGTTAGCACTTAGAGCAGTGGTTCTCAACCTTCTGGCCCTTTAAATACAGTTCCTCATGTTGTGACCCAACCATAAAATTATTTTCGTTGCTACTTCATAACTGTCATGTTGCTACTGTTATGAATCGTCATGTAAATATCTGATATGCAGGATGGTCTTAGGCGACCCCTGTGAAAGGGTCGTTCGACCGCCAAAGGGGTCGCAACCCACAGGTTGAGAACTGCTGGCTTAGAGACTGTTGAATTCTAGACCCAGCTCTTACACACGTCCCTGTCCAGCCTCTGCAGAATGGGCCCCTGAGTTCCAGACTTCCGGGATCTCTGTATAAGCCGCAAACAGTCTCAGGGTCTTGAGGGAGAAAAACTATACTGTAAATCTTATTAATACAACAGCTTATTTTACCAGCAAGAATAAGTAACTGGCTCACATTGGGATTAGACAGATCATTTAATAGCCTTTCTTGTAGGCACTGAAAGGCTGGTAGGAGGGCATCGCATCTCCAGTGTGGGCATTTCTCTGACAACACTACGACCTGACAGAAGTATTTATCTTCTTTCCTAAGCCCCACAACATCGTCAACTGTTGGATAAGAGTTAGGGCCTTCATGTGCAGATATGTTCTTTGCCTGAATATTATCTGCCCAGGGCTGCATAGAAATCAAATGAGTATAGTTAGGCTTTGCTCGGGATTTACTTATAGCATTTATGACTTCTTTGAGTCATCTCTTGGTGCAGGGCACAACAATGGGAAAAGCACTTAGGATGTACATCATAGGTTTTATTATCTTGCCTGCTCTCTCAGAGTTCTGCAAGTCCTGTTATGGAATTGCTGGCATTAGAGATAGGTATTTAGCATGCCAGCTTTGTCGTATATTTTCTTTGACTGATTTAGTTATCTTTCAAGGGCACTGCAATTCCTTGCTAAGTCATAAGCACCTGTTTTTAATAGAGTCTGTATTGTTTTCAGAGAAATAGGTAGCTAATGTCTTCATGAGAGAAAAGGGGAGAGCCACTGTTGCATTTGTTAAGCGTCTCTTTTTTAAACTACTTACCATGAAGTGAAAGTTCAGGGAGAAGTGCGTTTCAGGCCATTTCTTCTTTGTGATTTCAGAGGTGGTAGCCCAGTGGTGTACGCAGGGAGACCTTCTGGCAGTCGCTGGTATGGAACGGCAAACCCAGCTTGGTGACCTTCCCAACGGCCCTCTCCTGAAGAGTGCCATGGTCAAGTTCTACAATGTTCGCGGGGAACACATCTTCACACTGGACACACTTGTTCAAGTAAGGAGGTGGGGAGGGGCCCTCACTGTGATGCCGGTGTTAGTGTGCCCCAGTCGTCATGGAAGAGTCGTGAGTTGGTTATACTCACTGTAATTGTCTTTGACAGATTTCAATCCTTTGTTGACTTTAATTAAATTATGAGGCATGAACCAGGAAAAATAGGGAGAAAGACATTTTTGCTTTTTAACCAAAATACAGTCAAATGAATGGACAATAAGCAGAGTGACCTGGTGTTTATTATCAGTCTGAAGTAGAAATCAGAACATGCAGAAGTGAATGCTCATTCTTAATTTATTTACTCCGATTTTATGTTAAGTCAGTAATGTATTTTTATGTTTCAGCTAAGTTACTGTTAAACAGTGTTTAAAAGCTTAAATGTCTTTGAGAAAGTGCACAGGTGGGCCCCTTTCTGTTTGTTTTTATGTTCCAGAAATCTTTAGACCATTCATTCTTGTCTGGGTCTGGTATGGCAGAGGATGAAATCCTCAGCAGGGTGTACTGGACAGAGAGCTGCGAGTGCGTTGATGATTGATGGGGGTGATAATAAACTAAGGACTTATGTCCTGACCTTACCCAGCTCATTAGAGAGGCAGGTATACCATATTGGGGTATTTTGTAATTAGATGCAGGCATTAATTATTTAAATATCTTTTTAAAAAAATTATAGTGAAATATACATAACATAAAATTTACCATCTTAACCATTTTTAAGTGTATAGTTAGGTAGTGTGAAGTATATATCATTGTGGTCTAACCAATCTCTAGGACTTTTTCATCTTGTAAAACTGAAACTTTATCCCATTCTGTTTCTATGCACTTGACTATTGTACATATGGAATCAAACAGTATTTGTCTTTTTATGACTTTTTAAAATTTTAGTTAGCATAACCTCTCCTTAAGGTTCATCCACGTTATAGCATATGCCAGAATTTCCTTCTTTTTTAAGGCTGAATAATATGCCATTACATATATATGTATATGTGTATGTGTATGTGTATGTATGTATATACTGAATGGCCAGATTATTATGACCGCCTGATGTTTGTAGGCAAATTAGCTATAATTTTGTGCTGAAGTTGCTAGAGGGCCAGATCATTATAAATAGGGAAGCAGGTTGTTTACCACGATAGTAGAAGTGATTTTTTTCTGAAGATATGGGTAAACAACGCGATTTAACAGCCTTTGAACGTGGGATACACACACACACACACACACA